GCGCAAATCAATCAAAAAACAAATGAATCATTAGAATCAACACGTCGCATGCTTGGTTTAGCGTCCGAAACTCAAGATGTCGGTATTAATACTATGATTATGCTTGATGAACAAGGCGAAAAACTCAATAAAATTGAAGTAAATATTTTTCACATAACATCTTTTTTATTATATTTTTGTATTTATATAAAATAAATTAGGAGGGCCTTGATAATATTGATTATGGAATGGATGAAGCTGAAAGAAATCTAAATAATTTAGAAAAATGTTGTGGTTTATGTGTTTTACCATGGAAGCGTGTTCGTCGTACACATCGACCATTCACAAATAGTAGTACAACAATTAGTAGTGATACATCATCACCTAAAACTACAGAACCAAAACTACGTATGGCTGGTGAAGAAGGAATGCCTTCAAAAGGTTATGTAACTCGTATTACAAATGATGATCGTGAAGAAGAAATGGATGATAATTTACAACTAGTTGGTAGTTTTATTGGAAATTTAAAGAACATGGCACTTGATATGGGTGATACTATAACAAACCAAAGTAAACAAATTGATGTCATATCAAAGAAAGCCGAAGATGGAACTGAGCGTGTGGAAAATGGTATCAAACGGACCAACAAATTGCTTCGAAACTAATTACGTTCTTAGAATGTTCTATTTTATTCTTTTGCGATTATATGTATTTGCGTGCAAAGATGTATTTATATATTTCTTTTAATAATATAAAAAAAGAGAGATTATTCATCGAACTGAATTGAATTTTAAGTAAAAGAAAAATAGTCTATTGACAAAATATTTGATAAATCAATATACAAAAGCTCGAATTATGTTTTCATAAATTATATACTTATTGCTGTTATCAGCATGACAAGGCAATAACGATACCAATTCATATGACGTGTTTTTATTTGCTTAAGGACCGATATATATATGTACATGTATATACGATTGACGTATATTCAAATCATTATTTTAATGACACACACTTGATAAGGTAAAATTATATATAATATACGTCTATATATATATACATAAGCAGTGTACCACTTCATGGCATATACAAAAATGAGCGGTGATTTAAATTCTATGCAAAATACAAGTGGATCAGATGAATTTATTGATACTTTAAAATCTTTATCTGTATCACAATCATTAGATACTCATGGTGATGTTATTGAACAATTACATATTCAATTGAAACGTGCTGTTCCAAACGGTTTCAAGGAGAATAAAGCATTTGCTTTTACTATTATTGATAATTTATATCGAATTGTTCCTATATTTGATAGAATATTATCAAATAATAATGAAAATGATAATGATTTTATTCAAACAAAAAAATTCTTGGCAACATTAGTTGATTCATTTAGTTCTGTATGTTTCTTTGAAGTACTTAGTCTATTTCGGGACAATTTATCTCATTTGAAAACTATTTTTCAAACGTATATTTCTCTATTCAAAGAAACTTATTTTATCGAAAATGATAAATATGATTATTTGATTACTTGTATAGTACCTGTTGTAGGCTTTTCAAGTATATTAATTCCAACAACTGAAGATGAAATTCCAGAAGGACTTCTTTCATATTTACTTACATTTGTTAAATCTTATTGGAAATGTCAACATCGTGAACTGGTTATTAAAGCTGTTTTTGGTTTAATAAAAATTTTTTCAAAACAACCAACACTTGTACCATTGATTATTCGTACTGGATGGCCTCAAGCATGTATTCAATTTTTGACTGAATCACATACTGAAAAAGATCCACAATCATCTTATACAATTGATTATTATATATGTTTAATTATTCAGAAGCTTGCTCGACATCCAAATGGTGTTCAAGTTCTTAATCAATTGAATTGTATTAAAGTACTTGAAGAAAGTAAAGAAAGAATGAAAAAAAATCATACTGAATTACAATACAAATGTCTTCATTTTCTTCAATGTATGATATATGTACTTTTAACAGAAGCCGATAATATTAAACATACGACAATGTTGTGTGACAACCAAATGTGTCAAACACTTAAAGACCTTGTTACACATACAATTGAAGCAGCAAATAATGAATATTTATTTCATCATTGTTTTCATGTATCAGAAATGTTAACTGTACTTTGTAAAGTATTTCTTAATGATGATGTTCTTACAAAATGTATGAATGAAAATAATCAATTATTTGATTGTTTATCACAATTACTCATTCGATTTGTTAATATTACTAGTGATGCAAATCATATACATCAACCAACGGATAATGAAACTCTACTTACATTAACAAATCTTTTATGGAGTATATCATTTCATCAATGTTATCATGATAAATTTCAAGCAAATTCTATACTGATGCATACAATAACAAATTTAACTACATCATCATCAGTAAATGTTAGTAGACAAACAATGTCAATTCCACGTGATTTAATATCATTAAAAAAAGCAGCTGAAGGTATTTTATGGAATTTAAAATCATTATCATCATCACCACGTCCAACATTAAATCAACAGACAGAACAACGACCACTTGTTATGATTAGTTATTCACATAGTGATACAGCATTTTGTCGAGAACTTGTGGAAAATTTATCTGCTCATGTTCCTGTTTGGGTTGATTATAAACAAGCACGTGATGCTGTTGCACATTCGGATGATCTTTGGGAAGAAATTGCACGTGCAATGGAAATGGCTTCTGTTATTGTTTTAATTATTTCAAAAGAATATTATGATTCTAAATCATGTCGACAAGAACTTTCATATGCAAGTGATACACTTAAAAAACGTATTGTACCAATTTATGCTCCAAATCAATTATATCGTGCAAGTGGTTGGCTTGGTATTCGAATTGCAGGACAAAAATATATTCATTTTGGACGAAAACCATTTGATGATGCTGTCAAAGAACTTGCATCTATGGTTGATACTGATCAAAAACCACTTGTTATATCATCACCACCACAACATTCACAACCACAACTACCACCGCCAACACCATTATGTTCATCTCAATCAGTTCCATGTTCATCTCGATCAGCTCTATGTTCATCATCTAAGACGATGCCAAACAAAATAATTACAAAAGAAGAAAATAAATTAATGATATTAAACGATTGGACAGCAAAGGATATTCGAAAATGGTTTGATGAGAATCATGTACATGCTAATTTAATAACACTCTATGCGGATCAATTTCAAAATGGTACATCTTTAATTATTTATGCACGACATTTGAAATTATTTTATCGTTATGAATATATTCGAATATTTACAAAATATTATAAATTATTTCATGGCAAACGATTGGATACATTTGATTTTGTTACATTTGTTGATGCACTTTATCGTTTACGTAATGAATATGATCCAAATTCTAATATAGAAGATAATTATGAAAAACATAGTGAACATCAATTATTACGTAAAATGAAAGGTGCCAATGAAGGACTAACTTGGTTATAAAACAATAAATGAACATTGCTTATTTTCTTTTTAACCAATATTTTTATTCAGAATGAAATAAAACTTTTTAATTCAGAATTATATTTAATTTAATAGAATAAATTAGTAATATAATAAATATATATACTTAAACTATTAATTAATTTGTTCAACGTTAAACACTCCTAGATTTATTTTGATATTTTAAATGTTTTTTTTTAACAAGACAAAAATCTTATTGCTGCCTTACAGGGATGTAATAGCGCAACTTTTTCAGAAGATAAACAAACAATAATAAATGATATCGATAGATAGCACATCACGCTGCAATTCTATCGACTGACAGTTCAGAGTAACAAAAATATATCACATACATACACAAAAAAGCACAATATCTAATTTCACGATAAAAACAAGAAAAAAAGGACGCACTGAATAAAAAGGAAAATAAAAAAAAACGAGAAAAGGAAAGAGTTTTTCTATATATAATTATTGATAAAGTGATTAAAATGTTTGTTGTCGACGAGTTGCTGGTTGATGATCAGCTAATGGTTTCGGAC